TAGAAAGATTTAAGGAAATCCGGGTAAGCGGCCTATAATAGGCCCGACACATTTTGTATATTTTAGACTTGTACCTCTATGGTTTTGTTCAACTAATCTTTCCTCTTCAAAATACCATGGCATGATCCCGGAACCGTATGTATATGGGTTAGTTTATGGTCCAAGAGAGTCAATAGTCAATCATAGCTTATTTTAGGACTTCTGATGATTAACATTCGCTGACTTGAAAACCTGATAGAAAATCACGGTCGAAGTATGCATTACATAATTCCATAATTTGCTTTTACACTTCCTCTTTATTTTTTCACTTGTGCGCACGACTCTTAATATTCATTATAGAAAACATCTCCCACATTCTTTTCTTCCATTTTGTTCTCTCAGCAATGACAAAAATCCATCATTTTACAACAACCACAAAATAAACATGGACAATGAAATATCATACATGTATATAACTCAAATTAATGCATTGCATTTATTTGGAGCGGTAGTTTACATCTCTGTTACGAATGCTTTCATTTGGCAGTTACAAGCAACAGATATCACACGTAATTGAACATACCTCATTGTGAGGTATTTTGTACAATCGTCCATTCATACATACATGTATACACTCATAATTACACTCACACAGTACACGCAAAATACTTGGCATTATCTATTTATCTGTACATGACTAGTCATGAGTACACATTCAAGGTATGCATATCAAGGGTTCAGTGACACAAAGACCTAACTACATATCAAAATGTTCAGAAAAATGTGGGCTTTACAGGAAACACAAAGACTTAACTCTACCAACACCCCATTGAAGTCAATGGCTAGTGAAGCCCAAGTGCTCAGTGACATATTAAACCACTTTTTCTCGAAATGGCCAAAGTGGAGTTACGTCTTTGTGACACTGACCCCTCGATATAATTATTCTAATATGGTTTCATAAAATAAAGTGTCCCTACAGGTATAAATATTTGTATCAATGGCAGGAGAAACGATTATAATAGGTTCTCTTGGATCAGTTAGTAACAACATTTTGATGGCTATAACATACATAAGCTGTCATATATCATAGAGAATAGCACAATCACCCGCCTTCCTGTAGGCTATACATGTTCAGTATGTATGGCTTTACAGATATGACAATCACAATATACATGTATTTATTTAACGCCTATTGCATGACACTTGTAGCTATAACGGTACAGTAAATTTGTTACGAATTTAGGTTTACTTTAGAAATGTAATGCCTTTTAAATCGAAGAAATGGAAATGGCTCATTGAATAGATATATAGATATATAGATGTATTAATATGCACATGTATGCACATGTATGCACAGTTTTAGTTATTGGCTTTATTCAATTTGTAGATAATAAAGCTTTTGCACAGAATTCAAATACCTAATGAGTAACGGCTCTGAATTCCAGTGAACAACACGATTTTGCAATAGATATTATAAATAATTCAATTAAATTTAATTCCAATTAGGCTCAGGTTGTAGGTAACAATTATCCATAAACAAGGAAAATGTTAATACACTATTGTATGTCCAATAGAAATAATGTTAGGATTATTTAATACGTCACTTGTTATATTCACACATTTTAATAGTTGACATACTTTACAAGGCTATTGAAATTGCATTTGGTTGATTTTTTTCAAATAGTTGTTTAGCTGTTATAATCAGTTGTTGGTAAATATATTTCATTTCCCATTAATTATCAAATTAAAACATTAATCATCTTAGAATGTAGCTCTCAAAAGAACCCAGACCATCACTGTACCTGAAACTTCCACTTCTTCTTGTACAGTATTTATTAAAGAAAAAAAAAAGAAAAAAAAAAATCTTGTCACTTTTATCCTAAGTAACTTAAGTATGAAGGTTATGGTTCCCTTTGATGATATACTGTACATACATGCCAACATTTGAAAATCAGAAATCTGTACAAATTATGCTATTTAAAAAAAAAAGAGGAACAATCCTAACTCTCCTATTCAATACTACAGACAAATTTGTACAGGAAGAGGAACACCTGCATTAAAATTATAATTATCTTCTCCCAAAAAGAGGAATGTTCCTCTTTAATCTGAACAGTTGGCATGTATGGATATACCGAAAATGACATGCATGTGATGTCTACAATCTTGAAATACAAGTTTATAAACTGCAATTGTATTAACTAGTTACATTTATAAATACATTTATGTTTATGACATTTCTGACATTAATACATTTTTCATTTTTATGTTTACAATACAAAAAAGTGTTCTTAAATAGAACTTTTACGTACCTATGTCCTTGACCAGAGTTACATTAAAAACGTTCAACACTTTTTGTATGAATGCCAAGGCCTAAGCCACAAATAGAGAAATAAACGTGCAGGTACAGAATATCACACATTAAAATTAATAGTTATTATATTAAAAAACATACTTGATATGTCAAGTTTCTTAGCTCTTGATCACAGTGGTCCATAAACATTTCAAACATGTGAAACTGGAACGAGGAAGAAGTATGAACGGATACATGCAAAGCTCCTTGTGACTGGGCTCTAGGGTTTCAATGTATAGAGATGTACTCTGGTGATCTCTGAGCCATAATTTGAAGCATTTTTCAAACACCTTATACGAGACTTATATTTCATAGATAATTTTGGTTGAGAATGAATGTTAACGTGTGTAGTGTATTGGAATGCTAGTCTGTCTACAGAACATGTACTGTAATACACTATTGGGTTGAATCTAGTTTCATTTGACCCTCTTACTGCATTTCAGCGCTACGACTCATGGTTAAACCATGGACCTACTACATGGTAAAAACTGTAGTGGACATTCCAGCACTATGACTCATCATCATCATGTATGGGTAACTTGTATGCATTAAACAGATAGAGTACTTTGATGGTCTGGGAATAAACACTTGTAGATTGGACCTCAACTAGACAAGTCATGCCACTCCTTTGTTTTAAGTCTTGTGTTTTTTTCATGTACTGTACTATTTCGACACTTAACAACCTGTTTATGATTTTCAAAACTGGACGATCAGAATTACCGGTAAAACCTGTCGCTGTTACATGTAGAATACCCTTGTGGGCCACCACATGAAGTAAAGGCCTAATGACTCATACATACAATCTATATAATTGTGGATGTCAATTGAATATACATGTACACCATATATACGCTGAACATTATAAAAGCACACAACCTTCCCTAGATTCACCACTAGAGGGCAGCACAAATAAGTTGGCATCTGGGAACATTGATTAGAATGAGATGCCATGCACATGTTTTTATGTCTCACAGAAAGCATGTATGTGTTCCTTCATATAACATGTTGAGAACTTGTACATGTTCGGATGCATGTATACTTGCATTAAAAACAAACAAAATAATTTTTACCATATTTTTAAAACGAAGCTTAGCTAGGGATCTGAAAATAAAACAGAACGATCAAGTTTGTCATGGAGTAATAATAAAATGATAATACAAATTGGCAAGTCATACAATTTCTTTTCCATTAATACCGTATTCACATGTGCCTAAATAATAAAACCTCTTTTCTGCAGGAGTCATAAAACCATTTGATGAATCAAATGCTGGAAACCTGAGTAACTAAATAATAATACCAGATTTTTGGCACTTGAAGTGAACTTGATATCATCAGGGCCCTGTTAGAGTCGTGATTAGTTGCAACTGATTTGCGATTGATGTCAATCGCGACTGTACATAAGAGATAGGAGACTGTAACATTGCTATTGATTAAAAACTTGCCATTGATTTGGATCGATCACAACTTTTTATAAGATGGGGCCCAGAATCATCTTGAAAAAGGGAGATCGGAATTAAATAAAACGGTGCATTATAAATCATACATAAAAGTAAGTTTAAAATCTTGTATGGGAACCATGTAAATTAAAAATGACTATCTATACTCAAGCCTGTACAGTATTTTGAATATATCCAACTATATATTTTGTGAAACTGGTGATTTATATAGGGTAACAAAGCTGCCAATAAAATAAAATTTATGAAGTTACATTGCTCAAAAATATGAGTACCGGTACTACATGTACATGGAATGCATACACAAACGCTGTACACATAATTTGTACGATGCCAAATGTAGATATATTCATGTAGATATGTTTTATAGGGTACCAATTACCTATTGTGTGCAGTGTGCAGTTAGAATGTATGAAATAAACCTAAAAATCAACCTTTACATGGCATTCTATAGGCCAGTGGACAAGGCATATGAAGAAAATAAAGAAAACATAAAACAGCGCATACGGATCTCCATGCAATGTTTGTAGTGTTAATACTGAGAAAAAAACCAAGACAGGTCTCACGATAAAGTTTACAAATTTCAAGGGTATCATTAACATAGTCTTGACACGTTCATAATATTCTTAGTTGGTTCTATGCTCCTCTAGCTACATTTAACTGGAGCAAATGTTGTCCAAGAAAGCAACAAAAAATGTCCAAGGATAGACTCCTACGTAGTTAACAGAACTGTTTACCCAAAGCGTTCGTACCGACAGAAACCTCAGGTCTTCCCAAAAGTCCCTCCTTACATGTATCTGTCAAATGAATACAAAGCTCTACGGGTCACAATTTTTCAGGTTGCATTTGCAGAGCTTTGGAATAAATTGCCTGAATATATTAAAAATTGTGATACTGTTAACAACTTGAAAACATGTCTTAAAACAATTTTCAATGTTAAACGATGACCTAAGGATGTATGTTGAGCGTATCTCACTCTTCTTTCTTCTCTCCATTACAACACAAATGGACATATTTGGGATATGCACTATATAAATATGGTATACTATTATTATCGTTAAGACAGCAAGGGTCCAAAACACTGAAAATCACCTGCAGAGTCCACATACATGTACACACTTTCCCTCATTACAAGACAAGGGTCTGCAAACGTGTATACAGTCAAACCTGTCTATTAAGGCCACCCAAGGGAAACAGAGTAAGAGGCCACTGTACATGTAGACAGGTGGCCTTTCTAGAGAGGTTCCTAAACACACATTTCTTTCTCGAGGGAGGCAAACTGCTTCGCCACTATTGACAGGTGGCCAAGAAGTCAAGTCTGACTGTATACCTGATGAATTCTCAAGCAGGTTGTGCAATATCAGATCTAGTTTCCATGTAATAAAATGCAAAAAAAATACTCCCTGTTAAAGCCTTATACCTTGTACATGCACAAACAGGCAAAACTTGCAAGCTGCAACTATGACAAATAAAAAAACTACTTCAGTGCAACACTAGTACCTTACAACACATCTAAGCATATTCGTCATACATAGTACTATCATCTAATCGTCAATCAGGGGCCCCTTTCACAAAGTTTTTTTTCAATGACAAATGACAAAAATCAGTGACGAATCTGCTGATAACCAATCAGAAGCAAGGATTTCAGTAGCTTATAACGAAAACTGTCATTTGTCACTGATGACAAGTTTTGTGAAACGCCAGCCAGTTCGATGCTGTCTGCATTCAGGTAGCCCCATGTCCAATAATATAACTTCAAAGCTCTCCGACCACACGAGCAGCAGCGTTTGCATAATGTAGTTGGTTCCTACAGCATACAGGTACATCAGTTACCCCTACAGAGATTCCTTGACAGAGGGGTTCATTGTATCATCCACACAAGATTGTTTTTTACTCAAAAAGTAAATTCCTTTCAGGAGTCTTTCACATGGATGAGGGGGGCAAGTTTGCACCCCTTGGTGGCTCTGAAGAGGCTCTCTCCCAGTGGAGGGTTAATGGAATCCTGGAGACGGTCATGTCGTAAGTGTCATATGAAGAACAGGATGATGACGATGAGCATGACCACCAGAAGCACTGCTATTGCCATCCATTGCCGCTTGTCTGAATAAAGAAACACAGACAAGCCAAATAAAAAGCTGGAATAACAAGAAATATATGACTGCATCTCTAATAAACCTTCGCCTAGCTTACATTCTACTTCACTATAACATGGCCAAAAACCCAGAAGTTAATCTCATTGACCTCTACCAGCTTTGACCTTTGACCTACTTACCAAAAAATAATTAGGTCCTGTCCCTATGCTGATACACGCTATCACCAAATTTGAAGAACACACCTGAATATACATTTTGAAAATATGGTTTCAACATACTTCTTTACCTTATTTTTTCTTTAAAAAAAAAAATTGGACGAGGGGCACAGGAAAAAAAGTACCTTAAAAGGGGCCATTTTGTAAAATGGAAACAACAGGCCTAAGGGGCTGAATTCAAGGTGGCTCAACATTAAGTTTTGCTAAGAACATCTTAATCTAGATTGAAATTTGATGCTATCCCACCCACGTATATTTGGCCTTGTGTACATGCTATACAAGATGTATCATCTATTCTAGCACAGATGGAGAGAATGACGAAAAGAAGGTATTCACCATTTGACATCCTTGTGACCTTGGCCATTTTCTTCATGACGCCGTCTAACCTAGATTCCGTGTTCTCCAGCTCTGTAGAGAAGTCATCTAACATCCTGGAGAGAGAGAGAGAGAGAGAGAGAGAGAGAGAGAGAGAGAAGAAAGAAGAAAGAGGGAGAGATGATATGATATATAATTACCTATTTGTGCATCTCGATATGCAAATATACCATTTTACGAGCGAGTGAGATGAGCAAAAAAAAACACCCCGAAACAAACTTTTAATACTGTGGTAAAAATTTCATTTTGATAAATAAAAAACACTAGATAAGTTTTTATGGGGGGAGGTTGCTGTACAAATATGACAATATTCAGGTAGTGAGGACTGTCATGCAACTGTCTGATACCATGCTATTTCTAAATGTTGTTAATAGCAAGCGGAGCTAGCAAAGAATTGTCACTTCATTATCTATAAATGTTGTTTCCCCATCAAAATACCCCCCAAATATATATATTTGGACATCTTGCTGTTTCTGATACTTGGTTTCCATTAAATTGATTTTATTCCAGAAGACATTTTCAAATAATTGAATTTCTCTTTTTGGACCTCTAGCAATGCCTGTGGTTAAAAGCGCTGATCTACGTATCATCTTGTATGAAGAGAAGGAGATATCGGGCCCTGTCTTATAAACCGTTGCAATGGACTTGAATCAAACGCAACTTGAAATTAATCGCAACTCCTATCTCATAAGAACACAGTTGCAATTAATTTCAAGGTGTGACTGACTTGAATCTCTTTATAATACAGGGCCAAGGTCATACAACACATAACAGAATATTCACAAATAAATTTTGCAAACTTACACTGCTTGTTCATCGAGCTCGTTCCCTATCGAGTGACTCATGTTCTTCAGCACACCCACACTGTCTGCTACTCTATCTATTTGATCATCTTGTGATTCCATTATTAGCTGTAAAATTTAGAAACAAGAAATATGATTACAATGTCTTCTGAAAGGTTAACTTATGTTTATTAGCGCTGTACTTTGTTACCCTGGCATTTCATGAGCTCTGGTATTTGAAAGAAAATTTCTTCCTACTGGGTACCCCATACTCATTTACATCACCAGGGTAGAGAGTGGCAAATACAGATTAATGTCTTGCCAAAGGACATTAGTGCCACAGTGGCACAGTCGGGTGACATATCCACTAGACCACAACACCTCTACACAGAGATAAACTTATGAAAATTCGTGAAGCACTTAACATGTATAGATGAAATGTTTTCTTGCTAGCTTTAATTCACATCTACACATCAAACACTATACATACCTTATGTCAGCAAAGACTGGTGCTTATTCTATTTTCAAAGAAAACAATAACAGAGCCCAGTGCTTTCTCTATTTAGAGAAAAGTATGGCAACAAACAGTGACCAGAATGTAAATGGCGCCAAGATTAAAATTTGCATTTCCAGTGTGCATCGGATCGTTTCATGGGCAATAAATAGCCTCCACAGAGCAATGTTCCAGTCATCTCCTGAAGATGATCAGAGCATACTCATTGATACATGGAGTACCAAAAAGCTCTTAGCGGAGCTCAACAACCCTTTTAAAGTATTAAATGGTGTTACACTGAAAATCTTAATTGATTACACATGCATTAGAGGCCCGCATACTGGTATGAATTGCAAAACCGTGGTATTTTGGTTCCTTGAATGCAAGCATGCTTCTTTAATACAAAAATATTACTTTGAAATTATCTGTGTAATCACAAGATCCTTTCAGCCAATCATCAAGGCAAGTGAAATACCGCATCCAAGTTTCAATGCTTGTTAGATTTTGTGTTTTAATTCAAAAGTAGATATTGTATAAGGTATACCTGTTGTTGCTGGTTGCTATCTCGGATGAATCGTTGGTTCTCATCTTCAGCCTCCTGCTCTAGTCGACTGTACTTGTGCTTTGGCCGTCCTGGGCCATTGGGTAACAGAGACTGTTGGAAAAAATTGGAACCAGTCACATGCAATGTTGAATACATATATTTATTTCTATGTCAGCAGAGACAGAGAGTTATTTAAAAGTGTATCTGCATCTGTCTGTGAGGTACAATCACCAGCATCTGGTTGTTGCCTACATAGGATTAGGGTCAAACACCAAAAACGCCTAAATTTCTAAGTGTGCTTCAGCTACAAGGTTATTATTAAAGATAGGTTGCGTTTATCTAGCAAATTTTTGGCTAGAATCAGGTTTCTCAAACGTCTTTCAGGCAAATTTAGAAGTAGATAAACGCAAAGCCTTTTTCAAACGTCTTTAGATATGGGCATATCTAAAGACGCAAAAAGGTGCGTTTTGAATGTGACATACAGCCAGAATCACGTTTCTGAGAGATCGATAAACGCAAAGCTGTTTTGAACCTCACATACAAATATGATCACCCAGGTGTTGTGTACAAGCATACGTGTGAAGTTGACCTCCGAGAAACTGTCTGCTTCCCGGGTCAAAACAGCTGGGCAGACACAAGGCCTTTATTTTGAATCGTGAAGGGTCGATAAACGCGACATCCCGCAAATCACGATCGTATAGTGGGGTACGATAGTGGGGTTCGATAGTGGGGTACGATATGTACATATCTAGTGGCAAGCCTAGATAAACGCGCTCATAATCTACTGGTAATGAGTCCAATTTGGTTACAGATGTTTTCACATCGGGTGTGTTTCAATCACCTAAACAAAAAAATTGTGTACAGCTAGAATGTAATGTACAATATCAACCAAAAAAACCTTCAACCCGCATTCTAAAGGCCAACAGATAAGGAGTGTCAGGATAATAATGATCAATGGCATTAAACTGCACACACAGAACCAAAGTCAGACTATGGAATGTGCTTAAAGATACTTGCTGTGAAAATCGCTGTCATTAACAATTTGCGAAAGATTCAAGCCACAATTTAAACAAATCACAACCGACAAAGAAAATGTTTCTGAGATTAACTAAAGGTTCTTGACGTAAAAATTGCTGTGGTTCCATTTCGTGGAAATATCTACATGTAGGGTTGTATTCTTAAAAACGATGTTATAATTAATTTTAGGCAAAATAATGTTATTTGTCATAACAGACTCAAAATGCGTGGAACCAACACTTAGCATTAGTGCTTACGCAGAGGTTTCTTTTAACTTCATGCAAACGCAGCCAACTTTGCGCAGGCATTATCTAATGACTTGTCCCACTTTGGATTTGTTATGACAATTAACAATGTTTTGCTAACATGAGAGATAACATTGTTTTCAGATTACCACCCCTGGGGAGTGTTTCACAAAGGCTTAGATCGACTTTAAGTTGGTCTTAACTATGGCAGGCCGTTCATGCCACTGGTTGCTCTCACCACTATGATCTTTAGATAATATTTTTTCCTTCAATAATGAACTATCAACAAAAGTAAATTTTGTTGATTTGTTACCTTGATTTGTAAATCCCTTGCAAGACCAATGCCAGTAAATGGCGGGAGAAAACAGTGGCATGAAGGGCCTGCCATAGTTAAAGAGAAGGTTGAGTACTGGTAAAAAAAAAAAAATTATTTCTCACAGAATCAAACGAAACTTACACTGAATGTTGAAGATTACAAATAAATGACATGTGCCAAACAATTTTGGAAGAAAATGTATACTGACTGAGTAATGAGCATAGAAAGACAAGGAATCAAGGTAGTACCAACCCCGACACCATGCGTGTTGTCCCATACATAGCTTTCTGTGTATGTGCTTGTTACTTTACCAAGACTCGGTCAAATTTATTATGATTTTGATGACTCCAGAACCTTGCAGTGCACACCAATACTTACATGCTACATGATCAACTGTTTCTGATCCTTTCCACACCTTTTCTTTCACAATGCAATCGCATTACCAGTACTAAAGTTTATCTTTAAGTCTAACTTAAGGTCAATCTTAGTCTTGGGGGGTGTTTCACAAAGATCATAAATCAAACTTAACTCTAAGTTGGACTTAAAAAATATGGAGAGCCATTTGTAGCCTTAAAATGAAATATATTCAAAAGCCAAAAATCAAGTATTTTAGATTTTTTATAAATTCCACATTAAGAACATGAAATCTCCTTAGATAATAGAAAATATGAATGATTTGAATCATCATTTTATGCCTTTTAAAATAAATTTTACAAAATATTTTTGAAAGGCACTTAACGGCTTTCCATAATTGTTAAATCCAACATAGAGATAAGTTCAACTTAGGATCTTTGTGAAACACCCCCCCCTGGTTCTACAAGAAAACAAATTGAGACACACCTGTCTTGATTTCTTGTCTTCTCTCGTCTTGGTCCCTGGACTGCTCATATGCTCTTTCATCTCTCGGACTCTATCTTTGGTCCTTGTGACAAAGAGTCTCCTCGTGTCCAAATCACTGGGCTCTATCCTGAACTTCCTTGGATTTGCTTCAACAATGCGTGAAGTAACGGTTAAAGAAAGCAAGTTTGCTATTAAACATTTGGCAATAACACTGGATTAGTTGGCAAGTGAGAACTACGGTATAAAGCATGATTATGGTTAAATATGTGTTTTGTGTTTAATAACCTTGCAATTTTCTTTCACATTTGTTGATTTGATGAACATGTTTATATTTTTCAAACTATGAAGGAGTGTAGGAAAAGATCAAGTGCTGTCAATTTGAGGAGGAGAAAGCTGATTAATTTCGAAGATAAGAAAACCCTGCACCACAGCTATGGGAGAACCAAGATAGTATAGCACATTCCTCACTCACGAATGGCAAAATAGAAGATTGCAATGGCAGACAAACCAAAGGAAGTGGCGAGGGACAGGAAAAAGGGGGATTTGTCTCGGCCCTAATCAAGCTAAGTAATCTTGATTCATCAAGATCAGAATCAATTGCTGAAAAATGGTTCACAACTGGATTTATCCTGTTAAATATTAAGCCTGAGATACCCTCACATGGACACAATTGAGTAAACATTTGAGGCTCAATGAACAAGGAAGAGTCTCTGATGGATTCAAGATAGCCATTTGGTTCAAAGTTAACTTCATCCAAATATTTTGAGCAGCTGTTTCTAAAACAGTTTGATGACTAGCTACAAAAGGAAACATGTTTTTATAAGTTGATGCCACTCTATTTCTACATGTACATGTAGTTGATAATTATGATAGAAGGTTTAGAAACTACCTAGTCTACTATCAATGATTTACTAGAATCTAGTGAAAGATACATGTAACCTTCTATAATTCCCGAAGACAAGACTAAACCTGAATAGTACATGTACAAATCCATTACATTTTGCATACAACCTGACTCTACTATTTGATTCTAAAAAGGATATTGATGGTTTCTTCTAGATCTTCTACGTCCCATTCAATACTCCTAAGACTATTCCTGAGTTCGTTCATGGTCCAGTCATACTCCTCCTTGCTCACACTGTTTGTGTCTTCTAGGAGCTGAGTCCATCTCTGGTAGAGTCCCTCTGATGTGTTCACAGCCTTCTCCACCTCCCTATTGCGCAAAGAAGAGAGGGATAGCCATGTTGTACATGTAATATTATTTATATTGATAGAACTGTGAGATGGACGACTGGTATTGGTAGGCAGGCGGGGTAGATTTATCGTATGATTATGACATCAAACTTAATAATGTAAATAACCTGAATCATCTGAATTACCTAGTATGATGATGCCCAGTTACTGACTGTACATGTAGTCTAAAGAAGGCTCGATCTTCAACAGACAACAGATCGGGTCCCTAATCATATATACATGTAAAGCTCATCAAATAAATCCTCAAACAGGGTCAAAATGTAGCTCAAACAATTTGTCTCAGATCCTCATTACGGTAGATCACTTCACACAGGCGCGCGCCTACATGCAACCCACCAGCGGTATGCACTTGTATTGTGCAGCGGTTTGCCATGAAACCTGTGAAAAAGTGTTTACTACTAATATCAATGTTTTTCTGAAAAATACTCCAAAAAATAACAAGAAAATTGACACGAAACAGGTAATAAACATAACGACTTTTAACTCATGATTTTTATTTGGACATTTAATGAATATTTACTTCATTTTGGGTATGTTTTAGTAGGGTATCTCCACGCCGGAGTTACGGGTCAAATTTTGGATAGGTTTCTGAACAAGCACCAAATTTTTAGTATTATTTCCAATATGGTCATTGACATTGAGCTTAGGCGTATAATCAGAGACGCCAAGTTCAAAGATCAGTAATGCGTGACATTTTCATGACTCGTCGCGCGACCGCACGGGCGAGGGTATAACACACGTATAAGGTATAGCGTTTTTTTAAATCTAGCGCGCGCGTTGTGCGTGAGAGCGTTTTCAGACCCTTGAAATGCGTGACGGTAGCTCTGTATAATACCGTTAACATTTTAGAGTCTACTGTTAATTATAAGAGGGCCCTTTAATTACAAAGAGATGCAATTCTTTATTAAGACAGGGTTCAGAACATGCAGAATGACGTGAGATATTACCATTACCAGCAAGATCCATTTGACCTTTTTGTTTAACTGCATGTGCCTAGAAAATTAACAACAAGTCAACATGATGATAATGATATCGATAAAGATATTCACAAACGTTGATTTTACTCACTCTTTCACAACAAAGAATGGATCTTCAAGTGACATGATGTTTCTCTACTTCAAATCTAACGCGTCTGAGAAAGCGATGTAGGCTTGTAGTACTCAGTAGTTTATTAGGCAGCTTCCAATTGTTGACAACGTGTTAGTTGTAACTGTAATGAGGTACAACCTATGAATGATGGAGGACGAACCACGTAGAACGCTGGGTGGTCGCGCCTACGCTTTCCCGTAGACGTGCTGTGTGATGACCGTACTCAGAAGTGTGATGTGAAAACAAAATTGTCCTTTCGAGTATCGCTAAGTCTGTTCTCGTCCACACGACTGTGCGTGCAATATGAGCAAATGTATCATTATTTAAGACAGGAATTTGGAATGGAAATATTAAAAACTTGTAGAGTTACAGGACTCCACTAAAATTCCTCTAAAAATCCCCCGGATTTACGAGACAGTACGGTGCAGTGACAGCACGGCTCTAAATTTAGTGTGACCTTAGCTTGCACTTTCCGGATATGATACGCACGATGACGTCACAACGGAAGGGATTTTCCCACGAATTTCAAAACAGAAGAAATTCCCTCTCAAACCTCTATTGTGACGTTTTCTATTGCTTACTTTTCCCATCCATGCTTTTCCCGAACATTTTTGGTTTTGTTAAAAGAAATCACATTTTCTACCGAGTCAGAATTTACGTTGTTAATTACCATAATCATTTGTTTTTAGGAAACGCTTGAAATTGATAAGTATCAGATATATCTTTATGTATCATATACTCTCCACTGCCAAATTTCCCTCGTATGCCATAATCTACCCTTTCATATTCATAGGTCTACCCTATACGATTAAATACCAAGTCCCTCCCTATCTCTCTCCCTCTCCCCCTTTCTCTCTTTCTATCTCGATCTCACCCCCTTTTTTCTTTCTTTCTCTCACCCGCCCTTTCTCTTTCTATCCCTCTCCCTATCTTTCTCCCTGTCTCACCCCTTCTCTCTCTCTCTCTCACCCCTTTTTCTCTTTCTCTCTCCCACGCTCTCTCTCTCTATTAATTTCTTTCTCCCTCTCTCTCCATCCCCTCCTTCACCCCAGTCTCTCTCTGCAGGTATTCATTCCAGCAACATTTTTAGGTTTAGGTGAACATATGTTGGGGTGCTCCAAATAATTTTGCAAGCATGTTATAGTCCTAGCCTTAAATTACGCTCCATGGCATGTTTGGCTTCCTATCACTAAATCCCTGGTTAGTGGTTATTACTATATTATATATTGCTTGCCTAGAAAACAAAAATGATCATCCTTTTATAGAATGTGTGCAGAGCGTATCTTAAGGAATCACAAAATCATGCAACAATTTTGATAAACGTATAATCTCACATACTTCCCTTCATGCACGTATTGGGCCCATTTCTTTTGCATGAACACACTGCATACGAAAATATATACAAAAAAAGGGAAATCTTCAAAACCTTTAATAATCAACTAAGCAACATATCGAGTGGTTGGAAATCATTGTTTTTCAATAGAAATTATTAATTTTTCAGGTTTTACCCTTGCAATATAACATTACAAGAAAATGACTCTTGCCAATTTGAAGATCAATATGTGATCACTTTAGCCCTAAAAATTAAAAACCATGTCCTGAAAGGGATGTGCCATTGCCTTTCAGTTTTATAGACGTCTCAATATCCTATGAATATTACGAACGCACAGTATTCACAGAAAAATAAATCATGAAACGTAAGCTTCTGAGAAAATGTGAGTTTATTCCAGTGCTTTGCAAGATCCACCATAAATATCAAATCTGTAAAAATGTATTCATACATAATGAAGAATAATTCATTTATATTTACCAAGATGAATAAGTGACATGAATTAGCTTTCCACCATAAATATCAAATCTGTAAACAATTATTCATACATCATGAAGAATAATTCATTTATATTTACAAACAAGAAGTAGTTACGTATATGCTATTATTTGAAAAAAATTACACTTCATGTTGAGAGCCAGAAGATCGTGTTTGTTCTATTGCTATAGAGTACCGAAGCTGTGACGTCATACAAATCTATTTTTAGAATTTCTCAATTTTTCCTTCATATTCCGAAAGAACATCAAAAATAATGTCCAAATGTCGAAAACCAATTGAATATGTTAAGTATTGGCTGAGATATGACCATCTGAAAATAAATATACTCCCCATAGGAACTCAGTGTTATATGCTCTGGCTCCTAATGGTTAGGAGCCAGAGCATATAACACTGAGTTCACATAGGACATATATTTTTTCGACATTTGGACATTATTTTTGATGTTCTTTCGGAATATGAAGGAAAAATTGAGATATTCTAAAAATAGATTTTTGATGACGTCACACTTCTTCACTCTATATAACATGAGATGATTGATAACTGTATCACATGGCAGACGAGGAACAAACTTTACAGATTAAAGCTTATATTGAGCTCTGGTAAGGGCATCCTATTTTGAGAGAAAATTGCTATCATTTATTCTGGATTGTGCAAATGAGAGTTGTGGTTCTTATTGATGACGATTTCTAGCAAGTTTTTGCTAAATTGCTATCATTTATTCTGGATTGTGCAAATGAGAGTTGTGGTTTTTATTGAAGATGATTTCCATCAAGTTTTTGTGAGGTTGTTTTTATCTGACTGATTCAAACAATCAATCTACTGCAGGATAAACAATCCAGAATGAATTTTAGCCACGTTCTCTCCACATACGATGCCCATGCATACCAGAGCTCAAGATTAGCATTATAACTCTGTTTTAAAGTATATGAGTTGACACCCTACTGGCCCCAATAGATGTACATAACAAACAGACAGTCTCCCTAAAACATACCACATTACACACATACATATTTAAATCATGATATAAAAAGAGTATAAGTATAATAAATAGCACTTGGTAGCGATTCCTTAAATAAAATAGAAAACAACAAAGTTTCAAACAACAGTTCAAAATGGCAACTTTATGAGTTACATTACCTGAGCACCACGAAAAAGTAATTAAAAAATCAGAGATAATCCAATGATTTTAGAGTTTACAACATTATAACCAAATTAACTGGTTCTGAAATAATTTAATAGAGACATGATAATTGTAAAACCTCTTTCTTCTAGCAGAAAAGCTGGGAATTTTCAATTTAACATTATTGTTTTTATTTTAATGAAATAAAGATGAATTATTATTTAGTAAAAATATGAATAGCATTACTCATGTCTGCCAAATGCAACATCCTTTGTTCTTTTCTCTCTTTTATATTATGATATTTAAAAAAAATCTTTTTAACACAGTTTGCATTTCTCTCTGTCATATTTCATATTCAGATTTCTTTTAAATAGTCATGAGTTATATTTCCTAAGTTGTTATCCTTTAATAGAACACCTGATCGCCAACCAGCTTTGGGATACATTAGTTCTGCCTTAAAAATATAATTTTACAGATATATCTTTCTATTACATACATATGGACAAGATTACGAGTACATTCAACTTGTTGTATTTCACTTCAACTTCCCATACACAGCAGAACCCCACTTCAACTTGATATGCCCATTCAATGTCAAGTCTCACTCCATACTCTCAACAAAGAATCAAGGTGGCCCACAAACAAAGGTTCAAACATGTAACTGGAATGTGGAAGGAGTATGGCCTAGCTTTCAGCATGTGAAGCACGAAAACCTTGTGGCCGGCCTCCACACTGTATTTTTCTATATGCACTCTGGTGCAATCTGATCCCGGTTTTTGAAGCATTCCATCATAAACGCATTTTATGACTAATATTTCATAAATAAATTTGGTTGAGAATGAATATCGACCTGTTGCTGATACTCAAACATGTCGCTGTTACATGTTTAAACCTCTTGTGGGCCACCCTGAGAGAGTTCACTGCAATCATTCCCATAACCAGATATTTAAATACCCGTAACCCGTTACTCAACTTCAAATTCTTAAATTATGTTATAAGTACAAACCTGTGAACTGGCAAACATCAAGCACAGCAAAGTGGCATGGTGTGTTTAATATTGGGTTTATATCCGTTTTGGTCTACAACCGGTTTGTCTACTACCCAAACGGTTTATTGCCATATGGTCTACACCAAAAAATTACTTTCCACATGGTCTAATAATCATTTCGTCTACTCATCATCTGGTCTAATGACCATTTTGGCTAATAGTCATTTGGTCTAATGACCATTTTGGCTAATAGTCATTTGGTCTAATGACCATTTTGGCTAATAGTCATTTGGTCTAATCTTCAATAAGTCTACTACCCATTTAGTCTAATATTCAGTTGGTCTAATTGCCAATGTGTCTATGCCCATTTTGTCTACAATCCCTTATAGTCTAATAATCATTTGATGATTGTCATAATATATGACTGAATGATTATTATACCATGTGGAAAGTAGACGGGATGGGTGTAGACCATATGGGAACAGACAAATTGGGTAGTAGATGAACTGATTGTAGACCAAACGACAATTCACCTATTATTCGATCCACGTACATCAGTCACTGATCATGGTCATACAGTGTTGGTCAAAGTCATCAAAGGGACGAAATAATCTGTTAAGCCGTTGACTACTGAATTATCTAATCCCCATAGACTTAACACAGAGACCACCAGGTTCCAGTAAGCAATGGGTTAAGAGCTAGAAGGGCATTCAACTCCGTCTTTATGAAAACTTGGACATCCTTCTTGCTCCATGCAAACAGACAAAAAAAAAATGTTTCCTTCATAACTTGAATTTTGGTGAAATCTATAAGACAAGTACACAACCCTGCTTCAGAATTCCTACATTAAAACAAAAATTGTATGTTAGATGATGGTATATCCAGGATTTATCCATCACGATAAATATCTTGGCTGATTCACCAAATTCAAACATCTTGCAGATGAAAATGTTTCTGAACATATAATTTACATGTTTGTGTTGTTTTTATGTCGAAATAAAACATAAGCAACAGCGACTAAAATCTGAATTTCTGAGAAAAAAAATGAGGAAAACTGATTTGTTCCACAAATTACTCTTCTTACAGCTTTCAAAGCACATTTAAGAAAACCGACTATAATTGAATTGTCTTTAATATTCTAACTAAAATGCAAAAAGAATATCACACTGAGTAAGTTTTTTTTGGATAACACATATGCACATACCCCTTTTCTTGATCTTTCACGCAAATTTACACTTGTACTTTTGTTGCCAAGCTAGAAAGCCTGAGGCGACAACCCTAGTAGTTTTGTGTGTTGAGAAAATATATTTTTTCCCTATTTTTTTCCTATTTTTTCCCTATTTTCTGGAAATGCAGACTATTTTTTCCCTATTTCCTTCAAGAAAATAGGAAAAAAATAGGGCTATTTTTTTCCTATTTTCAAGTACAAACTATTTTTTCCCTATTTTTTTCACCTATATTTTTTTTCAGACTATTTTTTTCCTATTTCCTATAAAAAAACAGGAAAAAAATAGTCCTATTTTTTTCCTATTTTCAAGTACAAACTATTTTTTCCCTATTTTTTTCACCTATATTTTTTTTCAGACTATTTTTTTCCTATTTCCTATAAGAAAACAGGAAAAAAATATTGCTTCTTAATTAATACAGGTAAGAATTATAGGTTCTTTATCATAACTGGCCTTATGTGAATCCATAATTTTTCAAATGATGTCAGATACAAAATTTATATAAAAAATAAAAATAACGAAGCAAAGGACGGAATAAACATTGCACATTGAAATAGACGAGTCATAACGTAAAGCACCAAACATATCCAATCCATCATTTAACCAATCTCAAAATTACGGACACAAACTCACACAGTGAAACCATTTATCTGCCCAAAATATCAAACTTGGTAAAGTAAAACAAAGATTGCTTTTTCAAGAAGCAACAATAGGCCAGCAAGCACACAGTTGCATTGGGAATTGATGATGCACTTAACATAAAGCATCATAGGCCTAACCAGTGGCGTAGCATATGTCCAGCCTTAGAGGGGGCACGAGCATCAAAGTCTTCTTTTCTCATCATTTTATCACTTCTCTTTTTCATCCCTTTACTTCTTTTTCATCCCTTTACTTCTTTTTCTTTGTCATTCGACGAGGAAGGGGGGGGGGGAGGGGGGTGGTGTGCCTCCGGTAGCTCCAGCTACGCCACTGACTGAGCCTAATTTTGTAATTAAAGCACATCTGCAGCAGCCGCATTTCAATTTTCTGAGCTGTTTTTCCCGCGTGTTAGGGTCCTTCCTGCCATGGACGGTCGACCAAGGCGACGTTGCGCGGGGCGCGGATTCTTGGTGTCCCAGTCTTGATAGTCATTCAGGTTGACCTCGCAGTGCTCTACAAGGGCTACGACCCTCTCGCAGAGGGTTTCTCCCCGCATCTTCCGCTTTGCGATCAGGAAAAAGGCCTCTAGGAAAGCGCCGAAGCACATGCCCGCTGCCACGCCCTCACAGGTTCGTTCGTTCCAACGACGGGCTACATCAATGTACATGATATCAGCAGCTGCCGTGGAGAAACCCCCTCCACACAACTTACATTTTCTGCCAAACAAAAGAAAAGATATAAAACTCTTGAAAGATATGAAATATCTGTAGGCTTGTCAAGATCACTGTTCACTGAAGAACATTTCCATAAGTGTGCTTTTTAAAAGTGAGAAGAAGTTCATTGAATTATCTATGTGACGATATATTGGACATATGCATAAATAAAACAAAATACGAGAAAACAGTAAGTATAACATTAAACCTGGCCCAAGTCAGAATTTTTGTAACCCAGGTCAGAGTTTGGTTCTGTGCAAGTATGAATGCATCAAATAGTCTACTTACTAATGGCTTTGCAGTTTATTTTGTGTATTTGAACTCACAATATCTCATAACATAAGTAATATTTGAAGCTCATATTCAGAATATAGTATAGCAACATGGCAACCGTAACAGAGCAGAATATTTTCTCCTGACTAGGACACTTTAAGCTGGCAGGTCACATTGTCTGCTCACACACACACACACGCACACACACACACACACACTTAGAGCTAATTCATATACGACCATGGATTCTTTTATCAGTAAATGAATGGCACTTGCGCGCAAAACAGGTCCAGGGGGGTGTTTCACAAAGATCCTAAGTAGAACTTAACTCTAAGTTGGACTTAAAAATTATGGACAGCCATTGGAGTCTTAAGCAGAAGTCTTATTCAAAAGCAGAAATTCAAGTATTTTAGACTTTTTATAAATTCCACATCCAGAACATGAAATCTCCTTGATGATAGAAAATATGAATGATTTGAATAAACAATTAATGCCTTTCAAAATAACTTTTACAAAATATTTTCAAAGATGCTAATGGCTTTCCATAATTTTTAAGTCCAACTTAGAGATAAGCTCAACTTAGGATCTTTGTGAAACAACCCCCTGCACATATTCACCTAGCTCAGTGCTATAAGATACAGAAAAGTGAAGCATATTACACTTAACATTTTCATAAAACAAACAGGGCCGTTTACCGCTTCATATTTGAACGAGGCCTTAACCCTTTAGCAACGAAACCGCCCCTCCTTTTACTCACTGAACTGCCCGAAACCAGCTCGTCCGTTTTCAAAGCGCTATATTATCCGTTCTAGGGTCTACCGTGATAATGTTATACATGCGTAATCCTTACGATGTCTACGGTAGGATTCTGCATAGAAAAATAGCTCACCTTTCATATTGTTCACAACAATGTCAAAATGAGAGCAATATTGCAACACCTTTCAGTGAGTAATAGGCCATTTTTACAAAATCTCTAGTTGCTAATGGGTTTAATAACCCATTGACTCCGGGAACCGGGTGGCTCCTACATGTATACTAAGCCAATGGAAATTAAAGATAAACTTTAGTACTGGTAATGCGATTGCATTGTGAAAGAAAAGGTGTGGAAAGGATCAGAAACAGTTGATCATGCAGCATGTAAGTATTAATTGGTGTGCACTGCAAGGTTCTGGAGTCATCAAAATCATCATAAATTTGACCAAGTCTTGGTAAAGTAACAAGCACTGTACACAGAAAGCTATATATGGGACAACACACATGGTGTCGGGGCTATAGTACTACCTTGATTTCCTTGGCTTTCTATGCTCATTACTCAGCCAGTATATATTTTCTTCCACAATTGTTTGGCACATGTCATTTATTTGTAATCTTGAACATTCAGTGTACGTTTCGTTTGATTCTGTGAGAATTAATTTTCTTTTTTTTTACCAGAACTGGGGGGTGTTTCACAAAGATCCTAAGTAGAACTTAACACTAAGTGGGACATAAAAATTATGGACAGCCATTGGAGCCTTAAAATGAAATATATTGAAAAGCAGAAATTCAAGTATTTAAGACTTTTTATAAATTCCACATCCAGAACATGCAATCTCCTTGATGATAGAAAATATGAATGATTTGAATCAACATTTTATGCCTTTTAAAATAACTTTTACAAAATATTTTCAAAGATGCTAATGGCTTTCCATAATTTTTAAGTTCAACTTAGAGATAAGTTCAACTTAGGATCTTTGTGAAACACCCCCCTGGAGTTTATCTTTAATCAATTCAGTAGTCAATGGATTAATGAGAGTAACCAAATGAGGGTACCTGCAGAAGGTCCTAAAGCCAGTGGCTCCCACTCGATGAGCCCCTCGCACCCCAAGAAAGAGGTTAAAGAATGCGGCCACACGCTCCATGATGCGTAGATGCTCGTAATTGCTGCTGAACTTCCGCGGCCAGATCTCCTCCAAGCAGGAGTCGTAGAGGGGGTCCTCCTCGTCTTCGGACGTCGGTTCAACCTCGAGTCGATGACTTGGAACGTCTCCCGCATCCAGATTGACTACCGGTATCTGGTTTCGTCTCGCTGCACTCCTGCAGGAGTTATTGGTAAGAAAATGTACACAACTTTTTGAATACCAATTTTCAATTTCATGAACTTCAATTCAATTCATTTATTTATTAATGTCCTTTGGCAAGACATTGATCTACATTTGCCACACTCAACCCAGGTGATGAAAATGGGTACCTGGCAGGAATTAATTCTTTGAAATGCTAGAGCACCGTAATGGCAGCACAGCTAACGCTGTAATAATCTCCAAGTTTAAAAGTGCTTAGTGATTGCAATAAGCGCTATATAAAAACTGAGTATTATTATTATCAATTTTTCAATTATAACACACAAATATGTGTGCACAAATCATAAATATAAACAGTTCAATAATAACATATCACATTGGCAACAGAGTCTTGCAGATAAATTTCAACATATGCACTGATGACGAATGACAATTGACCGAGGTCATTTCAATCCCATAGGGCTCATTCAGAGGATGAGAATCAATTGTAAGAAAGTGTATGCAACTTTTTCATATTAATTTTCAATTCAATTCCTTTATTTATTTCAATTAGAAATAACACACAAATATGTGCACATAACATAAATACAAAAAGTTCAATAATAACTAATCACATGGGCAAAAGAGTCTTGCAGATAAACCCTTTAATAGTTGCACTGTCGAACGTCGGATGATAATTGACCGAGGTCATTTAGACCCCATTAGGGTCATTCCGATACCACACAGTAAACTGCCGCAAGAAAAACCTGCCTTTATTATATCGTGTAAAAATGAAAGGACAACTGCACGCAAAAAGTGTCTCGCGCATATTCCATGAGCTCTGTGATAGAAGAAACAGTAAGGCCTAAAAAAAAAAATTGATGACTTGGCGTAACGGGTCACTGAAAATTAGGGTAGGTAGGGCGATTTTTTTTGTTTTTTTTTGTTTTTTTTTGTTTTTTTGTTGTTGCTTATATTTGCATACATGAAATTAGCCATTCATACACATACATACATACAGTGGCGTAGATAGGTCCTCAGACCTTGGGGATGATCTGATGAGAGGGGTAGACCACAATATGTTCAAATAACTCCACGCACACACACACACATATATGGACACACACATATATGGACACACACACTGTGTGAGTAAAGTGAGCAAGAAATTGTTGAAATCTTGATCACCTTGGGACCTGGGGGATGCATACATACACCTGCCCCCCCCCCCCCCCTGCATACATACATGTACATGTACATACACCCTCATGCACATAAAATGCAAACATACGAACGCATTAATAGGTTTCCAACAGACCCCAGCCTGAGATATCTCAGACACTGTCTTCAACAGGATAAACAGGTGAATATGTAGGTTTAGAAGGGGCTGTTCACAAATATTAGTATTTTCACAATGTATTGACTAGCATTTTTATAACTTGTCTAGAGGTTAACATGTTAACATGTTAACATGTATCCAAAATCTTGAAGAATGAGGGTTGAAAAGAGTAGCCAATTACAACTTGTGAAAATATTTACAATTGTGAATGGCTCTGTAATAACAAACAGTTAAAAAATGTCTCCAGTATTTCAGAATCCTTTATCCAAAAAAAAAAAAAAAAAAAAATTAAAAAAAAAAAATTAAAAAAAAAAAAAATTAAAAAAAAAAGAAAGAAAGAAAAAAAAAAAAAGCGTAGGGTCGGCGATAAAAATAGGGTCGGGCGGGTTACGCCAAGTCATCAATTTTTTTTTTTAGGCCTAATGTGAAGCTAATACATTTCATTTCATGTCATCACAGAAAAAAAACGCTCCAGTTTTGCCGCGTCACATCCAAAGAGGCTTAAATTAGGGATCCGGTAACTTTGTCTCAGATTCTGAAACAAAATTCTGGATTTAGCTCATGCTGCAATGATAATTATAAACCTTTAGGTCAGTCAGGAACCCTATGATATTTACAAGCTGATCGCCTGTTTGATTATCAAGATATTTATGATTGGAAATCGAAACCAAATTTTGCGTTTGACTAACGGTTTTCATAACACTACAGTCTATTGGGGAAAATGAGTATGGTAAAATCGGTCAAAGATTTTTACTTTTTTGAGGCACTTCTTGTTAATTCTGAAGCGCTATTTTGTAGGGCTTCAATATTACACCATATCACAGACACTGATAACACGTGGGGCCGTGTATCTTAGATTTAACATTGTTAAACGATCCCTTTAAGTCTCGTCTGAACCTTCTGTGGGGGAGACAAAAAGATATCTTACTTGAGACCCTTGGAGAACTTTCCTGGTCTCAGAAGCCTGAGCACGTCCGTGATGAGCGGTATCTTGATCTCTTCGTCGACCGGACTAGGTAGGATCTCCACCAGACCGTTAGGAAGATGATGCTCAAAGTCCAGTCTCAGGCTAGGATTGGCATTGACCTCGAGCAGGACAGGCTTTAGTTTGCTCGTCAGGAGGATGTCAAAGCCCATGATCTAGTATAAGGAAACAAAGTGCAATAAAGGGTTTTAGGATGGATAGTGTACATCCAAAGATTAAAGTGTACCACTCATCCTAAAATATATATTGTCTACAGCTAGAATGCATAAAATCAACCTCCAGTGCTTTATCCAGCATTCTGTGGGTTAATGGATAAGGAGTATAAGAAAATAAAGAATTACATAACATAACGAACACAAAACCACAGGTCTGACTTGCGTTCCGTGAGGGCCCTATTGAGACATTTATATAAAAGCTAAATATCATTATTATTATTACTGACATGTTACTTTAATTGAGAGTATATTTCAAATTAGAAAATCTCTTAAACAAAACTAATATTTGAAGCTCATAATTTTAATATAGTGTTGTGACATGGAACTACTGACATATTGAACAACCTATTTCTTGGTGATTGGTACACTAAGTTCACTTTACACTTGAATGAATTGGGGGGGGGGGGGGGGGGGGGGGACCCTCTAGAGTGGGAAGATAAATGTACCGAGGCAGCCCAGTGATCTAGCAGCTTAACTGAAATTAGCAGTCCTATATTTTCTGGACCTTCACACATTGAGGCCTAAGCTTGTCTTATCCTATGCAGGAAACAGCACAGAGGATAAACAGAAATCAATATATCATACAAGTCCCCAATCTGCTCTAGGCCGACATAAATACATTTTTGATGTTTGCTTTTCATATATCCGAAAGATGAATATTGCATTATTGCATGGTTAGTATTAAACATGGGAATGTAAATCGATTTCAGTTCTATTTGATGACCAATGGGATTTCCTGTACCGGAAAATAAAGGTGTGTCTTTAGCTTTCTTCTTTGTGATAACAAATGTTCTTTGTCCATGTAATAATGAAATGGCCCATTAAAAGTATTTTTAAGATAACCCACAGAACAGCCTAATAAATACATACTTATATAGCCATCAAATCACGGGAGTGTTTCACAAAGACTAAGATTGACTTTAAGTGACTTAAATATGGCAGGTTGTTCATGCCACTCTTTGCTCTCACCATTATGATCTTTAACAAATATTTTTTTCTTCAATAATGAATTATCAACAAATATATAAATTCTGTAGATTTGTGATCATGATTTGACGTCCCTTAAGAGACTATGGCCAGTAAACGATGAAAGCAAACAGTGGCATGAACGGCCTACCATCCTTAAGTCCAATTTAAAGTCGATCTTAGTCTTTGTGAAACACTCCCCTGAAATGTAAGGATGACATGTAGGCACACAGAGCTTTACACCTCTTGCTTTCAATACAGATTGATTCAGAATTGAGATATCGATGATGCAATACTCCAGATAAGAAAACTACCTGAAAGCACGTTGGGTTGGATCTCTTCGGAGGAAACTCTGCCTCCCACACGACACGTAGGTCGGGCAGCATGGCCGTGATCGTCTTGACAACTAGTTCCTGGATCTCCTCCCACATTCGTGGGGTATTCATGCCCCTATTGGCCAGGGTACCGAACACGCTGGTCATGGTCCGCTTGCTGCCCCGATCCGTCGAGTCGGTGTGCACAAAATTATTGCTGAATTTATTGAGGGAGTAGTTTGTCAAGTGCATGTAGGTGACGTGGAGGTTGCGTGTGGTTGGTTCTTGGTACGGCACGGTGCAGAACCGAGCCATGCCTTCCTTGCAGATGTAGATCCTGAGTGGGTCGATGGAGGCAAGCATGACGTAGATGCGTAGATCAAACTTGAGGCGTTCTAGAAGGAGCGGCCTTGGTATGTACTCCTGGACAACGGCAGGCTTGGTGAGGCCGGTAGTGGACATATGGTGAGGGTTAGAGATTAAGTAGATCCCTTCGCCCTGAAACACAATTAATTGAATTTAGGTTATTATACTCAATAATGATAGTCACTCTACAAGTGTACACGTGCCAATCCAAACACACTAACAGCCTTTCAGATCTAATATTTGTCCTTGTCAAGATTGCACCAAAAACATTAAAAAAAACAATACTGGGCTAGGTGTTCAAGGTCCTCCAAATCCTCCAATATTACCCCGGCTCAGCTGGACTATCGTTTTTTTGTCCCTTCAGCGTTCAAGGAATTCCTTTATACCTGGGGGACGTTTTATAAAGCCGTTGATAAAGTTACGTATGACTTTAGGAATGACTTCTATATGAAAAGCCAAATGGGATGCTCAATTATTTTTTTAACTGCATCAACTAAAGTTGAACTGTGCAGATGTAACTTAACATTCTTATTATAACAAACATTTTAAAGCTTATCTGCCATAGTTTACAGGAGGGATTAGAGCGCTCTGCAGGGTCACTGGTGGTTATCTCATCAACTCAGCTCTCAGTTAACATAAGAAAGAGAGGATCATGGGGGGACCAATGGTCACCAATTAGGCTTTGGTTGTTATATAAAGGGCGCAAGTAGCTACAAGTAGTGCAGTGGGCCTTTAATACAATGTATATTTTTTGCCATAGATTAATTGAGGTTATTGGAAATATAGTCACACTTTGTGAAAACATCAGGAAAAACTTTGGGCATCCTACATGTATCAGGCACTTCATATTCAAGTCGTTCGTAAAGTCATGCGTAACTTTACAAATCAGCTTTATGAAACACGTACCCCCCACCCCTGGCCCGGTACTCATTTAACACCTGGGTGGAGACAGGAAAATGGAGATTAATGTAGTGCTAAAGGAAATTTTTTTGATTGAGTCAAAATTTGGCAGTCTTACCTGACACCCGTCATCTGGTTTGACGATGAAGACTGGCTTGGCTCGAGGGTACTTCTGGGTGAAGGTCGCCACCTCCGCACAGAAAACATGGTACTGCTCGGGAAGGATCCAGGTGCGTGGGTAGAAGCTGTACTCATCGGGGAAGAGTTGTCTCATTTGATGCAGTAGTTTGGAGAGCTGGGCCTTGCGTACGAGTTCCAACAGACCTGTTAGTAATATGGAAGTTGTTCTTAGAAGTTTTACTGTAATTACTCTTATGATTGTCTGAAAAAATGTGATTATGAATGATCAATAAAACATAAATAAAAAAACTAATAAAAAATTTGTTCTTAGAAGAAACCTCACGGTCACAGCACACTCACAGTTGCAACACCTCAGTTTTAAATACCAGCAACTCGTAATTAAAAGGCATAAATCGTAAGTACAGTCAAGCCTGCTTTAGTGACCACCTTTATAGGAAGACACTGAGCATCTTTCACTTCCCTTGGAAATGGTTTCTCAAGAACACATGTACTAAACTTCTAAAGGAACCTGTACATAAAGACCACCTGCCTAAAATGGGTTGCTTTTCTTGTCTCCCTTGAGCAGTCTTCAAATATATACAGGTTTCACTCACTCCTGCAAAGCATAGAGAGTCAATGCTAATGCGTATTGACCTCTAGCACTGCATGCTTGCTGTGAGGCAGGTATTATTAGACCTATACACAAATATATACATCACACAATATTGCATAGACTGCATACAATCATGCCGATGCCGCTGTAAGCAAAGTTTGACAGTAGACTTACAATTTGAATTTTTAAATTATTCTTTTTAACATCAGTAAGTTGAAAAAAATGTATTTTACTGCTATTTAGGTGTCATCAATTGTCACTAAAGTTCCGATTTTGAGTGAAATCAGTTGAGTTTTGTACAGTGGTGTTTGAAATGTTGAGAATCAAAAGCACTGCTTTTACTACACAGTCAGGATATTAGTGATGCTCCTATGTGTGGTTTCACTGTACTGTTTAATTACAGGAGATAGCTTACATCATCATGTACATATCTATTCATGGGTAGGGAATATCTTTGTAGTATAGTATTTCCTTGTCATCAATAATACTTAAAAACATATTTAGGGAGGCAACATGTATGTAAAGAGTCTGAAGTGTAAGAAAAAAACTTTGCAATTTGATGAATGAAAAGTTTCCATCATGTACTGTACGGCTAATTTATTGTATAAATTTCCCATTCTCTTTTAACAACAACTAAACGCACTAAAAAAAAAAAAGGGAATTTATTGCAGCATTCAATGTTTTACATGTATTTATTATGAATTCGTTAATTTCCCCTTCTTAAGATTGCCAATTTGATGATAAGACAAACATGCAATCATTGAAAATCTTTTTCTTTTTCTTACCTGGGAATTTATTGACCATTCCTCCAAGGGGTTTAGTTTCACAATCATCGAAGGATACTCCATTCCAGAAGAGATCACACGGTACGCGCTGACTGCCAGTAGACTGAGTAAAGTGGAAGAGAAAGAACATTGAGACATTTAAGGACTTGCTTTGCACCTGTGATAACATTAAAAAAGCAGCCAAATTATGCATACTCTAAGCTAAAGAAATCATATAAAAAAAAATGTCTAGATAATACCTCTAGTCTCGGTCTGGGTTAGTTTGATAGATCTACCCACCTGTCGCCAGGGTAGATGGCGGCTATACATGTAGGTGTACTGGTAGTAGGTCTAGGTCTACTTTTCATAAAAGCGAATTCATTAAATACATTGATGTAAACAACATTTTTATCTAAATACAGAAAGTAAAAGTGACAAAGAATTTTAAATAGCTAGAGAATAGAAATCTAGACTAATTATTAACACTTAAGTTAAGATGGTAAATAAGATATTGATCCTAACCTAATCTTAGATAATTTATTTTTTAAATTTTTAGAGTGGACCGGTAGACTGGCAGAGTCATGGGAGTAGAAAGCAGGTGAATACAGGGAAATGGATAATATTGGCCAGAAAGAGCGGGGAGGCTGGAGTTGGAGTGGAGTAATCTGTTGCCACAAAATAAGGCGCCCGGACACCCTGACCCTGGATATCCCTATCAACTACCAAGAACAACTCGACCTGGTCGAGTTTTCCAGGGTAGGGCGACCCACTTTGTTTTCCCCTGATTTTATGAATTACATTCACTTATTATACTCAGATATCATCATGAAGCAGATAAAATGTTAACATAAATATTGATACCGGTAGGCCTAGTCAAAATCATGATAGGATATAACATAATTGATAAATTAAGGAATTTTCAAGAGTTTAACCTTGAGTGTTATCACCTTTTCGGCTAGACCGAAAGCTTCAGTCTCTATATCGTCGGTTGTTCCACTGAGACTACGTCTGGCTCCACTAGACCTCCGGATATCCAGACGTAGTCTCAGTGGAATAACCGACGATATAGAGACTGAAGCTTTCGGTCTACTTTTCGGCAAAGTTTTAATTGCAGACAATTGTCAAATGATACTCGAGTCTCGACTGCGACTGCTGTTCAAAGGAAATTTAAGTTTATTATTTTGAGGAAAAGTCTACGAAATTTTACTTCAAAATGCTTGAGACTTTTGTTTGCTTAGAAAGTAATTTTGGGCAAGAAAAGGGATGGAAATACCATTACCATGACTCAGAGTCAGAGTTGGGTGATTCTGCTGCAGCTGAATGTTGCGTCGAGTTATGACAATGAATGAATTAACTGAGAGAAGTTTGTTTCACTTTCATCAAGAACGAGTATGACTTTGACTGAGTTTGAGTATGATCATTTACTAAGGATATTTACTCCATGATTATCTGATTCCCTGTCAAGACTTGTCTGTAATGATTGTTATTATATATTTAACCCTTTCATTATTCATGACAATTTAATTATACATAACAAAACAAGTGACTTTAGGCCTAGTTCATAAAATCATGCAAGTTGTCTGTGTGAGACCCTAGCGGCTAGCTGGGCAAGTAAATGATGTTCGCTCTTTACCTCTTTCCAACGCCATCCTAATTCATTGAGACTAACTCTCAAAACTTCTCCACTTGATCTTGCTTTTGAGGTGTTGACCATCAAGATGTTTTGACGTCGTCTCCTTCTCCCACTTCGACTACGAGATTTCTGTTCATCTTTTGTACTTCTTTCATTTTTCTTTCCTTGTGTTTTCGATTTGACATTCGATGTATCGTCAGCGGTTAAACGTGAACTGGGATTGTTAAATGCTAGGGATTTATAGTTCGGCGTCGGTTTCAAACCTGCATCTCCATCGGTGCTGGGCCTGGGGCGGCCCGCGATAGCCTTAGCTTCCCGTTGATTTTCTACGAGGAGTTGTGCTATTTGATTTTTCAGGCATTCTTCATATGCTATTTGTGCATGCGTAGATCGTGGATATATCGGCTCCAACTTTGTGCCATTACCAGCATTTGAACCATCTGAAGATGCCGACATCATTAAAACCCATCGCTATGATTGTCACCTTAAATTAGCCCATGATATTTGCGTAATATGAGTTAAAAATCCAACAGTTGCAATAATTAATTCACATCTGACATTGCTGAAGCTGGGCGTCGATCGTTGCTCTGTAAACAATTGTCTAAAAATTGTCGTAGCTGGCGCTAAATACAAGATCTCTAGATCTCTCTAGGAGCTCTAGATCTATATTGTCCCCCCAAAATCCCATCATGATCAATCGTGAAACAATTAAGATTTGGATTGGGTTTTCGAAACTTTGGAAGGGTAACAATTTTTAATCTGTTTGATATATGACAAGTTGTATAAAAAGTGGTGATATAGTGCAAAAACAATGTTGCTACTTATAGGCCTGCGTATTTAATTTGCATTTCCCCCAGAAATATAAACATTTATGACTCATGCACAATTATTACCAAGCATTTAATTACAAAGAATGCGCAATACACGTACCTTGTGTATTTTGACGACATATATATTATAACGATCCACTGTTTGTACTTTGCATTTGCTACTTACCATTTTGATGCGAACTACCATTGGTCCCCCCCCCCTGGCGCTCAAGGTTGGGGGGGGGGGGGGGGTGCAATTTTTTAAATTTTCGAGTACCAAAAAAAAAATTAGTGCTCACTACTCCCCCCCCCCCCCCCACTGAGCAAAATATTGGCCAGCACGATTTTCATATTTCAGCACACTAAATTTCAAATTGATTTCAAATTTGGGCCCCCACCCCTAAGAAATCCTGAATCCGCGCCTGCGTTATGCGGCTCATTGCCTTTTTGATGATATCAGCAAACAAATATTGCATATTATTATAAAACGGTCGATATCATTTTTATTCATGCCGAACCTTAAAGGTAAAGACCAGTTATGGTCATGCGATTGCATTGTGAAAGAAACGTTGTGGAATCGATCAGAAAAGGTTGATCATCTAGCATCTAGCATCTGCAAGGTTCTGGAATCATCAAATTGATAAGAAATGTGGCCCATTCTTCGTAAAGTTACAAGCACTATACACGGAAAGATGTATATGGGACTACCCTATATCTCTCACAGACCATGAGAGAAACACATTTACCAAATATATGAATTAGTAGGCGGTTTCCCGGCAATTTTTTTATCATCATGTATTAGTCAAAACATATTCTTTCACATGATTGGTAATGAGAGCTTCCATTTCATTTTTTGAAATTGGGGCGTTTCCAATACTGGTCTTTACCTTTAAGCATTCATGCAGAATTTTGAAATGGCCAAGTCACACTATACCAGGGGCGGATCCAGCCGGCGGCAGAGGAGGGGGCCCAATTCGTGAACAAATATTTAGTGGCGAAACAGCCGGCCCATAATTCGCATAGTGGGGGGGGGGGGGGGGGGGGGGGGGGGGGGGGGGGGGTAGTGAGCACTAATTTATTTATTTTTTTGCTCCCGAAAATATGAAAATCGTGCCGGCCGATAATTCGCTCAGGCCCCCCCCCCCCTCTGGATACACCACTAGTGTCCAACAATTTTTCAAAAAATAACTTAAATTTCTATTATGCAAAATGTATGACTCCGGAGAGTCTTTGCATTTTAGAGTACCTAAATAATATGCTTTTCATACCTTAGCCTGCTTATTCACTCTTTCAATTCAATGGACTTGAATTTCCCTGTGCATTAACCTGTACAATTATACTATAATTACTTTTATCTCATTTATCTCATTTTTTTTGAAGAGCACCTAAAAAGATTGTAAAACAAGGGTGTCTTTAGCATTATTATAATCATGAAGTTTTTATCGTTATGCACATAATCAAGGACCCAAGGTTACCTGTTTACGATTCAATTCCACATGGTGTTCTAATTATTATGATAATCAGAAAAGTTTGATTGTCATGCACAATGTCATAATCAAGAACCTAATTAGGTTACCTGACATGTTTACGATTCTATTCCATATGGTGTTTTTATTATTATGATAATCAGAAATGTCTGATTGTCGTGCACTAATCAAGAACCTAAGGTTACCTGCGTACAACTCTATTCCATATGGTGTTTTAATTATTATGATATTTAGAAAGGTTTGATTGTCATGCACATAATCAAGAACCCAACGTAACCTGTTTACAATTCTACTATTCCAAACGGTGTTTTTATTGTAGCTTGTTTTATATGCTAAGGAGTATAATCAATCCATCGGAGTGAAAACATGATTGTAATTAGTACATACAAACCATGATTGTGCAAATCGATATCTGGGGCAGGCAATGTTCGGTCAGATTTTAGCTTTATATTCAAGCAACGTTTGCGTAACCTTTTAAAGTTTTGTATAAAAAAAACACCTGTAGTATATATTTGAAATGTTGATTTATTTTGCTGAGAGAATATAAACAAATTGTTGCTGAGACATGTTGAAGAAAAATGGTCTAACGGAAAAAGGAACAGATCACACTTTTCTGCTCATTATTGAATACAGGGAGGGGAAGTCCACCCTAATATTAAGTTAGCTTCATTATAGAAACAGAACAATAATTTGGGTTTTCTGTTGTACGCAGAAAATCTAAATTTTGTATTCTTTCATTAATATTCGACTTTAAACGCATTTGTTTTGAAAACCCTTGCATAAATATGTCTTAAATTAGATCCTCTTTCACATTATGATACAATTTGAGTCAAATTTTGCCATCAAACTTTTTGGGCTCGCAAGGTTTAGGAGGCTCTACAATGATACTGATACCCCTTTCACCTCCTTCTCCCCAGTCCTCCTCCGCTCCTCCTCCTCCCACTCCTCATCTCGTGTGCTCCACCTCCTCCTACCCCAGGCGCACCGGAAGCAGTTTGGGATGGGGGGGGGGGGCAAACATTCCAGAGGGTTCACCTTCCAGGGGAAGTGGCGTAATGAGCAAAAACATTCGGAACGGGGGGAGGGGCAGAAAAAAAATCTGCGTCACCACCACTCTTACACGTTACACACAGGCCCCGCGGAACGTTTTTCAAAGTGGAGTATCAGGTAGAGCGTAAATTATAGCATGGGGTCCAGGGCCTGAGCCTCGATAGGGTTTCAAGGGCTGAGTCCCCGGAAGCTCGGGTTTTTTAGACATTAAATTACGGTCAGATAAGTATATTTAGATACCTTATTTGTGACACTGGCAGGTCACTAATTTGTGGGGAGTCCAGGGGGCAGAGCCCCCCGGAAGCTCAAGGGTTTTAGGTATTTAATTACGGTTAGATGAGCACTCAGGGGAACTCTTTAATGTCATTGATGTAGTCCAGGGGCAGAGCCCCCGGATGCTCAGGGTTTTATAGGTATTTAATTACGGTCAGATGAGCATCCAGCGGGCAGAGACCCCGGAAGCTCGGGGGTTTTAGGTATTTAATCACGGTCAGATGAGCATATTTTGATATCTCATTTGTGACGTTGGCAGGTCACTTATTTTTTCTCTCTCTCTTTCTTTCTTTTTCTCTGTAACATACGAGCCCAGCCGTTCTGCAGGCTCTGACACAAAGGCTTCTAAATAAGCATATATTTCGCCCGACTGTACATTTCTTATTTTCCAACAAACGCATTAAAAAGGTATGAATTACCAGGAAAATTATGTCATTCATAGTTTCAGCATCATTTGTAAATCACTGATATTGAAAAAGAAATGACCTACCCCCCATCAATACGCCAGCGTTCAAGGGCTCATGACTTCTCACCCCTATAACAAAAAAACACACACGCTTTTACAATATTTCCACGAAATGCGCGTATCGCTAATATGAAAACCTCCAATATGGGTGGCATGCGGAATGTTTAGGAAAATTAAATCCTGTTAACTTTTCTTTGAACGGAATTTTATATGTGATTTTAATTCAGTTTTTTTTAATTATTGATATTTTCTTTGGGGTTAAAAATACAAACCATCTTTACTACTTTACTGCTTTTCTTACCCCCCCCCACACTTTTTTTTTTGGGGGGGGGGGGAACTGCCCCCCTGCCACCCCACTTCCGGCGCCTATGTCCTACCCTTCCCCCGCCTCCTTATTATCATCATCATCACCATCGTCACAATAATATATCATCAGCATTATCACCACTACTATTATACCACCATTATCGTTTTCATCATCAACATCATCATCATCATCATCATTATCATATCATCATCATCATCATTATCATATCATCATCATCATCATCATCATCATCATCATTATCATCATCACCATCATCATCATTATCATAATCTACATCATTATCTCCATATAGAAACCTGTGATTTTCGCAGAGAGGTGTAAAGAAATTGAATGCAGAGAAATTTGCGGGTAGAAGTATTTATTAATCAATAGGCCCAAACAAATTCCAATACCAATCCAAACAAAAAATATATTAAAAAGAACGAAATTACGATTACGTCATGTTTGTATATAATACGTAAACACTATGTCTCAAACAGATTTACAGTACTAATATTAATAACATATATGTAACTCGATCACTGATTGCAGTGCTAGGTACTTTAAATTTATTGAAATAATCATATTTCTTTTTTTTTACAACCAATCACCAGTCGTTATCATCTCTAATCATGACACAAATCAAAATTATGAGCGCAACTTCTTCATAGAATCGTGGATGGTCTCCAGTAGCAGATCCACAATACCTGGTGGGCTGGCAAGGTGGGGGGGGGGGGGGATATTTCGAAAACTGCCTTGCTCAGATGTCTGATACGGTTAAGAATATGATTTTTTTTCTTCAAAACTAGTTAAAAAGTAAAGCACTTCATTTTATATCATAATAAATTAACATAGCAAACTGCTTTATGATTAAATGCCTTGGAAATGGTTTATAATATGATGTATTTCAAAACTACTTAAAAAGCAAAGCACTGTATTTTATCTCATAATAAATTAAGATAGCAAACTACTTTATGATTATACGACTTCGAAATGGTTAATAATATGATGTATTTCAACACTAGTTAAAAAGCAAAGCACTGTATTTTATATTATAATAAATTAAGATAGCAAACTATTTTATGAAAAACGCCTTGGAAATGATTTATATTATGATGTATTTCAAAACTACTTAAAAAGCAAAGCACTGTATTTTATCTCATAATAAATTAAGATAGCAAAC